GGCACTTGACCGCAAGACGGATGAACAAACCGACTACATGATGGACGACGCCGAAGCGGAGGAGGCGGTTTCTGCTACCACCCTGGTCGCACTACCGCTATTCGCGAAAGGTATTGATGAATTTTGCCCCCGGCACGCGCGATCTTCACGACGTTCCCATTCGATTCGCGACATTAAATGTCGCGAATCGAATGGGGACGGGCACAGCGACGCGCCGAAAACGTATCACAGGCCACGTCTACCGAGCGGGATTGGCTAGGAGAGCTCGTAGTGTCCTCGTCGTCCGAACGTAAGGTGAAACAGTATATACGGACCGCGGGCCAGTGCGCGCCACAAAGTTGCGACGAGTGCTGCGTGAGCGTTGGGTCGGGACTTGTGTCCAATCCGTGAGAACGGGACTCCAAGCCAAACGCTGACGCGAAGGTCGCGAGTGATTTGTGCCCCGCAAGGGACGACCCTAGGTGATGTGGGAAATTTATGTGTAGCGCAAGTTCGTCCGCTTCTTGCACAGGGTTTGCGATGATGTAAGAACGCCAAGCTCTTATTGGCTGATCGAAACAAAATAGTGGGTAAACCTCCAGGTTTCTAACATTGGCGCCTACCCAGTATCCTTCCAGTCAAAGCTAATCAAAGCTCGGCGTCGTTCTGAAGTTACCGCAACCCCTGAGCAACAAGCAGACGACTTGCTCTCCGCATCGGTACGGCCTTTTGTTTAGGTGATGCTGCACAATGGGGAGGACGAAGGACGGTTCGGAAAAGACTCTTTTCAAAAGTCGCCGCCATTGTCTGCCCGCCATTGCTTGATCACGTACCCTGAGCATCTATTGGACACGAGGGCAGCGTCAGAGTTCGGCGTAAACTCGGATTGAATCCGCGCTTCGTGCCCAAGAGGTGGCGAACATCGATGTTGGTCAATGGACTTTTGAAAAGAAAAGCTTTTTAAAAGTTCAACAACAGATATCAAACGACCACTTAAAGGGTGCAGCGATTGACAGCGGGAGCTGTCGCGTTGGCGTTTAGTCCACGTGGTTTAAGATATTTATTTTAGCAGCGTTTCCGCTTAGTATAACAGTATAATAGCTGTAAGAGATATGCTTTAGGAGATGTGTGAAAGGAGCTTGCGCAGAAAAAGGTAAATACAGTGGGATTACAACGCGTATAGATTATCCCAGAGCAAGTAGGTGATAAATCAGACGTATGGGCCGCATCACGCGGCTTCCCACTCTTCTGATATCGCCGGTTACAGAAATAACTGCTGGAACGCAGCCAGTGCATCGCGCGAGATAAAGGTGGGCTGCAGTGAGCGTCAGTCCTATCTCAACGTCCTGGCTTTGCGGATCTCATGATCGCAGGTATGTACTCCACGTACGTAGTTCGAAGTATTTTATGTCTTCTAAAAAAATGTTGGCATGAAACTGCGGTATTCTTCGGCCTATTAGTTGCTCCGTTCCATAAGCCGCACCTCCCTATAAAGGGCTGTTAAAAAAAATATTGATATATCTTTGTAAACAGACTGCTCTTTGTAGGGTCGGCAGAGTCCCAGCAGCCTATGCCACCACGCTTCAGGCCGCCTTCGGACAGCCAAAAGCAAATTGCAGGGCGCAGACGGGAGTTTTGCCGTCCGTATTTTGTTGTAAGTAATCATGCAGCCTATATGTAGCAGAAATAAGTTTTGTAATACAAAGAATAAATGCACGCCGGATATGATACACCAACAAAGACTTCGTCAATAAAAACGGCAATGAAGTTAAGGTTTACTTGCGCGAACGATGCAAATGAGGGGTAGTTGCCGATCACTACATCCGTTGTGCCTTAAGGAACGATGCGATACACAATGCTAGTGAATTTTGCTTTCAACCAAGAACTAAACTTGCTTTATTAGAACTTGACACATTGCGGCAAACATAAATAACCGCAAACGTGTTGCAGCCTGGCGGACAGCCACACCGACTTGCTTTCCTATAGTCAGACAACATTCTGCCTAACTGCCTGGCGAACACGCAAACACTCTCCTAGTCTAGCTTTGTTGTTCCTTACGTGTTTAGGAAGCCTTCACTGGTAAGTGATTCTGCCATGTTTTTGTGTCTTCGACAGTCTGAATGACTACAGGTTGAGAGCCGCTAGGGACAGTGACTGAAAGAATAGACACTATCGAAACGTTCATCAGGCAACATTGGCGGTCGCTATTCCTTAGACACGAATCTCGCGATGGGATCCAACCCTGTAGCAGTCCATGTGCCCAATGCATGCTGGGAGCCTATGTGATCAAGCAATGGCGGAAAGGTGTTGGCGTGGACTTTTGAAAATAGTGTATTCTCCCAATAATTGTTTTCAACTTAATATTTTATCAGGCTGCTCTTCGCTTGTTGACAGAAGGGATATACACATAACAATAAAAGATTAGTCCGCTACTGTTTGTATAGCCTCTGCGCGGCATTGGTTCTCTCGTGTTTGAATTTTGAATCACCTATAAGATTTGAATAAGATATTCGTTCTTGCTAAAACTTTGGCATCTGGTTTGGACCTCTAGTACTACCTTTGGTCAGAAATTGAGAGTTCGGCCATGCGTAGAATATTTTTGCTAGGAGAAAAAACCCTGTAATTTTTTTTTTGTGGAACACCCTGTACTACCAACAGACTTCACCGTACAGTGGTGATCACCTCCGTTAACAGTATGCTATTTCGAATTTGCAACCCTGGAGGCTCAACATACACCATATTAGTTTTATGTCTTGAAACAGCTTCAGATGCCTGAAGTCGTGTGTACATTTCAATTATTAAAACTAACTTTTCACTTTCCTTTTCTAACCCATAAAGTTCACTATTTTTTATAAAGTAACAAGTGTGTCATTTTATTTAAAAGAATAAAGAAGAATATTGGGCCATCAAAACCAGCAAATCTCACTTGAACGACAATGTGGCCACTTAATCCTCGTTATATGTGAAACTTGTAGATAACTTGAACGCAACTTTCCTACATCATTTCCCACTATTCAGGGTTGGCTTCCTCGAACCGAAATCAATCGACATTGTCTATGCATCTCAAGGAAACAGATTTCTAAGGTAGTGGCGAGCGAGAGTCTAAACCTATCTTCCCTTCACCCTTAAGCAGAGACTATAAAGCTCCGCCTTCAGCGCGAGCTTTCTGCCCTTGGTGACACAAGTGTGAACGCGCAGCCACGCGCAACTAAAGCACTGCGGAAGCCAGCGAGTTCGCGCTAAAGGCGGAGTTTCAAGTCTCAGTTTAAGGGTGAATGAAGAATGTCTTAACAATGTTTTATCTAGATACTATTTTAGAGTCAGCTAACTGAATTTCCCCGGACCAAGTCAACCTAGGCATTACACAGACAGCTGTCAAGGTTTTCTACAATCTAGTGTCTTAAAACATTTAGATCGAATAGGCATCAGTCAGCTTAAAAAAATAAGAAGAAAAACAGAAACGACCTATCATTAGTTTTAAAATAGTATCCGTAATAGTTGTCTCTTTTGCCTTACAATTTGATGCTAAAAATAAACACATAACGATCTCTTTGTACGTAAGAAGTGTCAATATAAGAAAAGCGTTATTGTGCCTCAAAATTGATTATTTTTTTATTTTTTTTATAGAACTTGGATATTCCGTGCCTGTTTTAATTGGGACGAGTATCGTACAGGAGCGCTTTCGTGTATCACTTCAGCGGGATGCACGTTAAACACTTCAGATTGGAGGTCTTACTGCACTGCTTACATTTAGGATGTTAGCGGACAGATCTGACGCCCTTTGGGGCAAGCTTACCTTGCCCGATGTGCGAGTTAATTTTCACTCAACAACTTGCGGCGAAAAAAAGTTGCACGATGGTAGACCCTAAAACTGGGGTAGAACAAAGTTACAGCACAAAGAAATACAGGAACCAAGTGAGAAAGACAGAGTCAATAACTTGGCTCAAAAATAGGGAAAAAAAATTTGCAGGCACAGTGCACATTTGTGAGACCTAACAAAAGAAAATTTATGTTATACGGCAAAACAACAAAAAAATGGCGTTTCTATAATTGAGTGTCCATACTATTATCCGCTTAAAGGATTACTCAAGGAAGATACGAAAATGAAGGACGTAAATATTCTGAGACTCATAACTAGGAATGGGGATGATAACCCTTATCTTTATTTGTACTATTCAGTGTCTGCTGGGTGCTTAGCTGAACTTCAAAAACTATGTGCATGGTTATGAAAGACACAGTCTTGATCGGGCAAGGAAGGCATTTTTATGAAGCAGCATGTTACGGTCGTGCCTCTCACATCAGTGTGCAATAATCTTGGGTAGCCATGTTGAGTCATACGTTACTATGCAATATGTAAAGCAATGTTAACGACAAAGATGGGCCCGCCTGAGGTTTAGATATAACTTTGGAACCAGATATTGCCATAAATTATGCCATAAATTATGGCATAATTTATGCCATAAATTTGGCCATAAATTATGTTCAAACAGTAATTTCTTTACACTATGCCAATATATTTTTGTATCAAATACCTATAATATATTCAATATAAAGTTGTGCGGTGTGCAGTTCCAGTCATCACAACATATTGTATTACACCCTTTTCACTCTCTGAGAATACTATCAAGTAGTAGTACTAAACACGTTTTTTCTTAGGGGGATGGAGGTAGGGGAAGGAGTTCATGGCAGACTCGCAGTATGAGTGTGGGGGGATGTATATGTGCATTTCGAAGCCAGCTTCGTGAATAAAACCTACAAACGTCCGTACAGTTTTGCGTTATTAATCAGGAAGTCTGGGTTAAAGATCCAATCCGCCACGTAAGTCACTCATTCATCATGCACTTCTTCCGTGTTGTCTCAAGGCCCTTGCAGCCCCATTTTAGGTTATCCATACTTACCGCATGTTGGGGGTTCATGCACGAGCTGCATGTCGGTGGCGTCCCCACCATTTATCCGCGCTGCTCTTTTTTTTGGTGTGTAGGCGGTACTGGTTCTAAGATCAAGGGCCCTCCATTCTGCAGGTTTCTTCTGGTCGTGGGGCGATATCCTGACTGGACACCTTGACCCTTTGAAGATGAGATTCATCTTCATATCCGGATTTTTCGACACTTTGGATTGGAGGCCCCTGTACTTCCAAGAGTCCTCCGTTGCGCACATTGTATGCTCCCTGTGCGGTGTGGTGTCGAGAAATGTTGTCAGATTGCCCTGTGAGCACACACTCTGCTCGGAATGTCACGAGGATTCCAAGAGGCGAGGGAGTACTTGTCCACTGGATAAAGAATCCTTCGCCGACGATAACATTCTTCACCTTGATATCTCGGGAGGTTACATCCTGAACCATACGGTAAGTAAATCTAAATAAAGAAGCTGCAGAAATTATAGATATATGGTTGGAGCTTTACAAGCTCTTGAAACACTGGAATATTTTTTCTCGATTTTTATAGCCAGGACTTCGTGTTTTCGGAGTTGATTTATCGTGAAATTTGGAGGGTGTCTTTCGGACTTTCTTTATTGCCGAATATTCGGAATTTATGGGAGTTTATTTTTGTGTGATTCCCAATTTTCTAAAGAAGATAGTGTATATTTGCTATGTTCCTAAATTTTAAAAATTGAAAATAAAAATATACATTAGCTGGCTGGTATAACTCTGCCCTAGATATATAAAAACGCACCTGTACCACGCGACATTGTCGCCCTCTCCATTAGTAGTACTACCATAAAATCATAAGAAATAGCCCACCTAAAACTGAAATAAAATTTGGAGCAAATAAGGAGTGGGCTAACTTTCGGTGTGCAATCAAGAAACGTTTAAGAAATTTTATAATTATATAATATGTTTCTGTCAAACTTGTTATGGTGGTAAGGGTGAATGAAGCAAAGATTACTGAACTTCCCAGTCAACAATGTCATATTGAGATAAACGAACTCCTTGACGCTGTCGTTGGAAAGCTTGTTTTCTCTTCATCCTTTTCTACCGCTTCTCCCTGCGGCTGCGGTGGGTGGAGTGGTGAAATAGAAGCCCCAGCTGTCCCTCTTATGGAATTTGAAGGCTCGTTCACACAGTTCCGTCGACTGCGTTGCTCTGCGTTGCGCCATGCAGCACAGCGCCTCTCCATTGGCTCGTCGTAAGTGTCGCCGTAGCCACAGCTCCACGCCAACAGTCTTAAAAACACGCAAATGGTTGCGGTCGCACTCAGACGCAAATGTGTGAATGAGCCTTAAGAGTTTATGACTTTCACGGTTATCAAATCATAACCCTCCCTTCCTTTAAGAAGTTGAATCTGTAAACCAAAACAGTGGTTTCTGCCGTGGCCCAGAATTACAATACCCCGGTGTCCTGAAGGAACCCTGAAGGAATAAACGGTGAACCTTCTTCGATCAATATTACAAGATTTTGAAGGAATCTGAGAAGTCCTCTCGTGCCTCTCATGATGACTGCTGAACCTGTGCTGTGACCAAACTTACTTTTAGACAACTGAACTTTTTTTTTGTTGGTCATCGTTCTTCTTGAATTTTTTTAATAAATCTGAGTTCAAGAAACTTTTACCGGCGAGCTTTTATTTTTTTTTCTGAATTTTTTTTTGATTTGTTTGAAAACACGCCACCCTCTCTATAGCCCAGTCATATTTAATTTAAAAAAAAGAATTTTAAACGTTTATTTATTTAAAAAAAAATATTTTTACATATATTTTCCTAATCGTTTCAAATAATCAATGTGAACAACTCACATATTTTCGGAGATTTGCCTCCGGTCTCCAACTCGGATATTCGCTTGTTGTGCCGTCTTTTCGTTTTCAGGTTATAATTATATAAAGGCTGAACCTTTCTTTCGTTTCTTTTTTTCGCAGGTAGCCTGCTTCAATGCACCCAATGGTTGCGACTTCATAGGTCAAGCTTCCAGACTCGTGGATCACTACAAGCAGTGCTCCTTTCACGTCGTGCCTTGCCCCAGGTGCCAATCACCAGTGCTAAGGACTGAGCTCGTGGGTCACTATAAAGACGGCTGCAGTTCTGCGTCCACTACACCCGTGCCCATTCCGTATTATATAAATGTGAACTATGATCATTTAGAAATTACAAGCAGTGAACGGAAAAGAGAGATGCTCAAGATATCCGAGGATCTTTCTCGTCTTCAGACTAGCCTCAACCAGTGGCTTGAGGAAGTCCGAACGTTGGAGAAAAACACAAACAAGGAACTGAAGGACGCAACGCTGAAGATCTCTGACCATCTCTCCGGTCTGCACACCAGTGTGGAACAGTCCCGGGAAGATGCGAGGGAAGCAGCCAGAAACACCAAAGAGCAGTTGGAATCTCAATCGTCGAGACTTTCAAAGAAGTTGGTCAGAATCGGAACTCAAGGTTTTGCTGCAGCCAAGAAAGAACTGAAACTTGCCATTGAAGACACAGTGAAGACGCACCTGGCTCAGGAGTTACGTGTACAATACGTAGAACTTATGAATGTTACGAAGAGTATATCCAATTGTGTGCTTGGATTTTGCGGAGCCAAGGATTTTCACTGGTACTTGAAAGGCTGGGAAGACTTAAAAAAGAATGCTTCAGACGTACAGCTTACGAACATTGACAGCCCCATACATTATGTATGTGGCTATAATGTGTGCATCCGTATTCGGTTGGAAGGATTACTGGGGCAGACGCTTTTAAAGTTGTTTATATGTATCCATCCAGGTGTCAACGATTCAAAGCTGGAATGGCCCTTCAGCAAGACTTACACGCTCGGTGTCATTCATCCCAAAGACAAAGCAAAAAGAAAAATTCTTCAAGTCGATGCAAGTAAACATTCGGACAAGGCGAGCTTCCAGATGCCAAAACAAGGCGGTAATGTTGGCTTACGAACAGTGACTTGGAGTACCGCTGACGAGCTCGAATGCGAAGGGTTTGTTATTGGGGATTCGCTGCACTGCTTTCTCCAATTTGAGCCGTAATGTTCTTTTCCGGTAGGTTAATGATTTATTATCGAGGGGAGCAAAAAATGTTCTGCTGCCTGGAAAAAAATCGCTTACCTGATCCAAATAAACATAAAACGGATGGAACGACTCATTCTCCTCGTTCGTCAAAAAAAAAAAAAAAAAAAAAAAAAAAACGCGTCCCGAGTACGCGACACGCCCCTTTTGGTGTATTTACCTGCAGGAAACAGGAATTCCTTTTGTGCGCACTGTAACTAGCACTGATAATCTCATCGCAGCTACAAGTATAACATAAAATATGGGACTTCTCTTCACGACAGGCTGCCACAGTAAGCCGGCATCCAAACGAAGCCGGAGCGAGTACATTATTGCATGTTGTATATTAACATAAAACTCCGCTCAATTGTAGATATTTTTTTTTTAAGTATGCACTTTCCTTAGTGAGGCCGAGGAATGCCGCAACTGCCATATTAGGATGTAACTCTCTCTAAATCTGTATTAAACTTGTCAAAAATCTACGGCGTGCACCAATTCAACGGATTCTGCTACTTTGGCGGGCAACAAGCCTCTCATCGAACACTGCGCTGCCTACGTCACATATATTACGAAATTCGTTGTTTTCTTGTTTTATGCTGAGCTCGGTATTTCATTAAAAGGAACATTTGCGAGTGCGCGGGTGGCGGATATCCCCCTCTAGCCGTCTGCTACGTAGATTTCGACGTAGCACCCTGTATCTCTCCCCTCTCTAGATAACATTGTTTAAGGCAGAGGTCGGCAAACCTTTGCAGTGGCGGGCAGAGGCGTCACAAAACCGACACGGAGTGAGCTGGAAGGGAAGTCGCAAGAGTGAAAGGGAAAGGGGGAGGCAAACGAGTAAAGAAAAAGATGCAAAAAGCACTGGCCCGAATTCGCATTAAGGACTGTCCCAAGAATTCTGATGAACCCGCAGAGCTCGACCCAATGAACGTTGCATTCTTGATTGAGCAGTGACCACTTGGGTAGCTCTATAAACGCGAATAGAATTCTCGAAACTTTCCAGAGCGCGCACAGGCGGTCTCGTTGCGCGCTCATGTCGCGGCGCTCTGGTGTCTCGAGCGCTCCTGTCGGCGCTCTCGTGTTGTGCGCTCTTGAGTTAAACAGCAATGTAAAACACGTGGAAAAAAGGTTAGTATGTATCTGTCCAATAGACAATTGCAAGCACGGCGCCCGACTAGTGTCCATGCGTGCGTGCATCTGCAGAGTGCGCGTGAACAAAGCTTTTGGCAAGCTTCCAATTGCACCCACTTTCCCGCACGAGCAGAGGCATGGCGGTCCCCAGATGCCCCGTTTGCAGAAGCCTATGGGCGCTTTTAAGAAGCTGTGCACGGGCACAGCCAGAACCGGCCTTCAGTTTGCTTCTTCTCATTTCGTTTACTTCACTTCATCGTTACCACAACAGGATAGGTTATTTCCATTTTATATTCCATTGTGTCCAACTGCCCAGTATTGGTCTCCCTGGAGGCTTGTCTACGTCCTTTTTACTGGCTCGGTATAGACAAGCGACGATAAGCAATGGCGGCTGTAAACTTGGGCGTGTTTAAAGCGTCTGTACTTAAACGATTCTTTCTAACAGAGCAGGCGCATGTCGGCGGTGAATGATGATTAGTCCATTATACTCGTACTTCGTTTCAGCTTAAGATCCGATGCGACCGATGCGAGGTGCTAATAGTACAAAGGAATCAACCTCAAAAGCACGGATCACCATAAATTTTCTCTTTATCATTGGTTCCGCGATTATAGAACCCGTTCAGGAATAAGACGTGGTGCTGTTTTCACGCTCTCTGATTCGTCCCATCAGCTCGTAGCGTCGGCAGCGTCTGGACTTAGGGTGAAACGAGGTGTAGTCCGCAGCCAACCGTCGGCGCACGCAGCCGATTCCCGACGAGGCGTAGCTTTCCCCGTGGACTCACGACATCACGGGAGGTAATCATGACCAGTCTTGGGTAAGTTACTTTTAAAAAGTAATTCGTTACAGTTACAGTTACTTTCAGAAAAAAGTAGTGATGTTACCGTTACAGTTACCGCAACAAAAGAGTAACTCGTTACAGTTACAGTTACTTTTAAGAAGTAACGACGTTACTTTTCAGTTACTTTTGTATAACAAAAAAAAAATTTAGGAAAAACTAGAAAACGCTTTTCACCAAGTTCTATTGCATAAAATTAAAAAGTATGCTTCTTACTTTATATTGTAACTTAGCAGCAGTTGCTTCTCGAAATTAGTGTCTAAGTTTCCCTTGTTTGATAAGGAACACGTCCCTGCCCTTGTTGAACAGCCGCTCATCTGGCGCGCTGGATGGGACTGCTGTGTTGTGTCGCAGGAACAGGCTTTAGATTGCCGGGCAGACGTTGAGGCAATAGAATGTCGTTTCCTGCTGTGAAGTTGTTAGTAACCGCCTACGCCACAGCAAAATACTCTCTGTACGGCGGCCACGGTAGTCCTTCTTTGTTGTCATCAACATTCATATCCTTGGCAGCACAGGCATATTGCTGGCTCGTTGATGGTTGCGCTGGGTTCATGGAGTCCCTGGACATATTTCAGTTTGTACCCGGCGAGCCAGAAACAAACCCCGCGTAAACAATAGTAACTTTTGCCTCGACTGCTGACACTACGCCGGAGTAGTTCCGCAAATCAAAATACAAAAAATTCGCAGTGTCCTTCGCGTGTATTGTTGTTTCACGGTTAATTCACACGATTAAAAGCGTTTGCGCAGAAAAAAAAAAAAAAACGCAACAGAGATAGGGCTTCAAGATACTATGATGAAATAGACTACTTCCATAAAGCCCTGCATGCAACACGGCGCGCGTTGCACTCTGGGAACTAGTTGGCCAGGGAGGAGGGTGGCATGGTTTCGGTTTCGATCGACACGTCGACAAGAGATTGTTTTCTGGTCCCGAGAGCGTCATTTGTGGTCTCTAAACTAACCTAAATGGCCAGACCTCGAAGCTTTAGCACAAGCCCGAGACGTATAGCTTGTCTTAACACATGTTTGTTGTATTTTTGTACTTGAGCATTTCTGTTAGCGTTTCGAGGTATGTGAACGAGCCAGTGCTGGTAATGTCGACGCTGCGAAGCTTGGGGATCTTGCTTATTTACGAATCAACAAAGTGTAGTAACCAATAAGTATGCATACATCGAGATCGCGCCTTTACATTAGTGTTGTTAATCAGGAGCTTTGTTTGTTTCGTCCGTCCATAGACGAAATATTACTTTTTGCAATTACTGTTTTCTTAATACGCCCGAGTACGCGAGGTAAAACTCGGAGGCGCCATTGAAATGCTCAATTATAACACTTCTTATCTCTTACCTGTACTGACCCGCAGCACTGCACGAAGCGAAGTCCCCACCCACTTGCATTTTACTAATATTCAACATCGCGTATGCGCGTAAACTTATCCTGCAATCGTATAGGCACATTCGCACATACAAACCGTTTTAAGAAAGCAAAAGTCGAGCACTTGTGTGAAAAATGTTGCACCATTCGCCAGAAGTACGCCGGACGGGCATGAACTCCTATGCGGCATGCGCCAAGCGAACGAAATTATTCAAAGTGCATTTGACGGTTGCTAATGGCCATAATATTTGTTATGCGTTTGCTTTCTTCCTGCCTGAGTATGCCGCGATAATTTCAGACACACCGTTCAGACACAGATCTTGGGCGTCAGTAAAAGCTCGTCCAAAAAGGCTTAGCGAGGAGTATAGGGGGCTTGTTAGGGCCTCCGTCGTAGCTAGCCGATCTCAACGTTTGTGAAAACTTAATCTTCTATCAGCATAAAATTTGAGTGGGAGATAAATGATGACACGAGGAAGACATCATAGTAACTTTGGTAGAGTAGTGCGGTCGAATTTATTGCGTTTCCTTAAACGTTCATGCGTCAACGCTGGGCTCAACTTTGATACTCCTGTGAGGATGCGGCTTGCTTTTCGCCCAATGAAGTAACAAGAAGCGGACGTTTGGCAAACAAAATACGTGTAATGCTCCAGGTGCTCCGGGTGACCGAATTTCACTTGTAGTTCACTGGTACCAGACTGGATTATTGAAATTGAACAAAAAGGTGAGGTGACTAAGCCACGTCTTACTACGTTTGCATACGCACTCATAATATCCGGTGTTTCGGGAACCAAGGAAAGTGCCCCGGCCTTCGTTTTGTATCGCTCGAGAATGAGCGTATTGCACATTCGTAAAAAAGTCAGATAATCGAAAACGCAAGCAGCGCGTTCGTTCGCGGCGTTATAGCATGAGATGAATCTGCTCAGTCGAAACCGAAACTGAGTGGCCAACTAGTTCCCAGAGTGCACTGCGTGGTATTTCGCCGCGATGGGGCGCGTCGGTTTTGGAAGAAGTCCATTGTTCAGTCACAAAGTACAAGAGCGTGCGTAAAGATATTTTTTTCATAAAATCTACACGTGGCTATATTCGGGTCGTGACTCGCGAGAAAGAACGTATTCACAAGTTTGTGCAAAAATAACTTGACACTCGAAATGTCGGAAGAGACAATTTGGAAAGCGCAAATAATTTTAAATTGTACTCGTTCAGTGGTATATTATTTATAAAAAAACTGGAAAGTAACGAGAAAGTAACGTCGTTACTTTCATCGTTACCTCAGAAACAGTAATAGAACTACAGTTACAAGTTACATTTTTAAAAAGTAACTCGTTACAGTTACAAGTTACCAAAAAAGTAACGAAGTTACAGTAACGCGTTACTAGTAACGCGTTACTACCCAAGACTGATCATGACACATGGTAGCGGAGCGGGCGTATGGCGTCAGTGCTACAGACAAATTTAAATTGATAGATCAAAGAGCGCGATAAACCTCCTCTCTTTCCGATTACTTTAGTTTCCATATGAGCGGCTTCTAAGAATCCAAGTGTGCTTAGAATTCAGGCCCTTACATTCACCCACAAAAGAAGCAGAACTCACGAAAACTTTCCATTAAGACATTTTCGTGACACACGCTACCCCAAGAAATTTAAACTTGTCTCGATAATTCCGATAAACCGGGAGAGCACAAAAGTGTGTGGTCTATGGCGCGCATCTGAAACCACCCAAAGCTTTCCACTATCGAGCATGGCAAAT